CGTGGCTTCTTGTAGGTGTGTGATATTTGTATGTTTATTGTTTTGTGTTTCGTTTTTTGGTGTTTGTGTTATTTGTATATGTATGTATGTATGTATGTATGTATGTATGTATGCATGTATATATATATATAGATGACCTGGTGGCGTATGGATTCTCAAATCGAAGGTCCCGAGAACGTACAAAACAAGCATTGGTTTCGCAACAACAGTTGTCAACACAACTTGCGCTCGAGCTTTTGCGAGTTCTAAACAAAAGACCATCGGTGCTGCAGCATTTACATCACATGCGACCAAACGTGCCCTTCGCGCGCGCATGTCGAAATCAGCCGAACGCCTTTGCGCACGTGCTGTCGCCAGAGTCCGTTTGCATAAAAGATGGGATGACGTGTGCACGAGCGCGTCGTCGCGCGCGCATGCCAGAATATTTCAAAATCTTGGGCCCCCCGCGTGGAATTCAAAGTCGAATGCCCCGAAAATTTTATATATTCCTTCTACCTATGAAATTACAAGGGAAAACCCCACAGGTCACCGGCCCCCCCCCCCCACATACCCCCCCGATATGCGCCCCACGCCCTTCCATTGGTGATCCCAGGAGCCCCTCCCGCAGCCTCCTCCGAACCTTTCCTGGGCCTCCACCCTCCCCAAGACGCCGACGATTGCCCCAAGGCGGCCCAAGAATCCGCAAAACCAGCCCTAGAGCCTGCTAGGACGCCTGCCGGGAGGAGCCAAAGTGACTAAAACCAATGGTTTTTCTAGGTTTCGATCCTTTCTCGACTTTCTGGGCTCCCCAGTTTTCGCACGCTCCGACACGGCCCAAAAGGATTGCAGAACCGCCACAACGCAGTCCCAGACACGGTCCACGACAGCCACAAAGATGCTCCCCTGATGGACCACGAACTCCCATGGTACCCCTTCCGCAGCCTCCTCCTAGCCTTTCCTGGGCCTCCACCCTCCCCAAGACGCTGTTCTTTTTCCCCAGGTTTTTGTAGTTTCTCACCTTGCTGGCCTCAGTTGTCATGCGCTCCGAGACGCCCCAGTAGCCTTGCAAACCCGCCCCAACACGGCCCAAGAGATTCCTAGCACGGCCTGCGCGAGCCCCAAGACTTTCCACGACCACCCCATGCTCGCCCCAAGATGGCCCAAGACGTTCCCATGACGGTCCGGAGGGGCGCCAGGATACCCGAAAAGATACCCCAAAGGCCCCAAGCATACCCCGACACGGCCTTTGCAACCACTCGACCGATCGCGACAAGCTTCCCAGGCTTCTGTCTACAAGCTTGCGACACATCCCATGACGCACGCACCAGCTGGGAGAGGAGGACAAGGAGAACGACGACGACGCCGACGAGGACGAGGAGGACGCGGACGAGGACGACGGGGAGAAGGCACAGAACGCCTGGGAACTAAAATTTGACGCCCGCTTTTCTCGAACATGTCTTCTCCAATGTGTCAGAATGTCGCTGGTTAGGCCGCCCCCTGCGCCGGCTCCTGTTCGCCCAGCGCGAGCTCCACGGGACATCCAAAGAAAACGACATGAGTAGAACGAGAGGAGGAGGAGGAGGAGGAGGAGGAGGAGGAGGAGGAGGAGGAGGAAATGGCGGAGGAGGAGGAGGAGGAGGAGGACGAGGAGGAGGAGGAGGAGGACGAGGAGGAAGAGGAGGAGGAGGAGGCGGAGGAGGAGGAGGAGGAGGAGGAGGAGGAAGAGGAGGAAGAGGAGTCGGAGGAACATTCCAATGCCGCATTCTCGCAGCCAGGACACAGACACACTACCACAGCCCTGACAACAACCACCTGGGATCTTATTGTCGGCCCGCCCCCAGGTCCGTGCACACAAGGAGCCGCGTGGGCCCCGCCTGGACCCCGCAATACACTTATACGTGGCACTTCTAGCAGCATCGCAGCTCAGTGTGGATATTCGACGCAACGCCCAAGCGCCTGCCAGGTACAAGAGCCAAGATAAGAAGGCGAAGCGCAGCGAGCCTTACATTCTTGTATATACATATGTATAATAATCAGACAGTTTCGCAGCAGCAATTTCCCAAACAGCCTGCGCTCGAGCTTTTGCGAGGTCTAAAGGAAATTATAAGTCTTCAACCTTTCATCGAATGTTACCCAACTTGCCTCTCGCGCGCGCGTGTCGAAATCATTCGGACGCCCTTGCGCGCGTGTTGGTGGGGGAGGACGGTCTGTGTCAAACAGTTCCATGCGGGCCACTCGCGCACGTCGACTGCGCGCGCATGTCGAGATCCTTCCAAAACCGTCATCGCCGACGCGAGGACATCATCATCGTCATCGGTTTGGTCGGCATCGGCGCCGTCATTGCCTTCGCCGTCGTCGTTGTCATCATCGTCACCAGACCCGTTAATATCCTCAGCGAGTCTGTTGGTGACGATGTCGCCATGATACCGCGCCCGCCCGACCGAGTCACGGACTCGCATTGTTGAGCCCACGTGTCAGCGCGGCCTGCGAGACGCGTTCGGAAGTTCCCAGCGGTCAGCGCCGCCGCGGCCGCGTCGCTCGTGCCAAACTAGCTGGCCGTTCTGCGCGCGAGCCTGCGCGCGCTAGCGCGGCCGCAGCGACGAACCAGCCACCGCCAAGCAGTCATCGCAATCGCAGCCGCGTGGGTTTTGCAAATCAAGTTGCGGGTGCGTGGGTGGGGGGGTGATTGCACGAGCATGGGAGAAGGTCGCGCGCGAGGAAGTCAAGTTCAATTGCGCTACGTAGATAGCAGCACGCAGTATGGTAGAGCACGGTGTTTGGGGTCCACGGTGGCTGGCACTGATTTTCTTCGGCGTTCGAAACATTTCGGCTTATGTTTGGCTGTCTTGGGGCTGTTCCGTGGCCACTCGAGGTCGTCTTGGGACGGTCTTGGGGCGTTTGGGAGCATATTGGAATCCATATTCAGGCATCTTGCGCCATCTTGGAGGTCATCTTGGGCTTTTGGAGGGCTTCCTGGGGTCATCTTGGACCACAGCCGTCGCCCCGACGACCCTCGGGCCGCCCGCCCACTTCCAGTGGACACGGCGGCGGGAGGGGCAGACCCTTCCCTGAAGGGGAAGCGGGGCGAGGGAACAGGAGGCGCGCTAGACCACATCCGCCCACAGGGCTGGTGCGACGGCAACGTCGCGAAAAATCGCGACTTGAGCCTACGAGGCCATCCTCCTGGTGCATTTTTCAGGTCGGACCGATCGGTGATGCTACTGCCCGGCAGGACACCAAACCGCCCGGTGCAACGCCTGGATCTCAGGGCCCCAGAGGCCCAGACCCCCGACGTCATGATTTTTCCATAACGTCGACCCGTGGAGGTCTCGACCCATTCCCCTGGACCGGCTTTTCATCCTTTGTTTGACGGTCTCGAGGGCCGGTAAGGGCCCCTTGAGGCCGAAAATAACAAAAAAACCTCCCATCATGATTTTGTCATTACCCGAGGCGGTCCCAAAAAGGCAGGCATGATCAGTGAGTGGTGCGGACAACCGCATGCGGGTCTTCTGCTGGGGCGGAAAGATTTGGTGCGCGCACCGCCCCCGCAGGACGCCGTCGGCGGCCCGTGCGAGCGGGCGTCGGCGCTTGGCAGTGTCTGTCGTGGCGCTCAGGCAGCGCCCGGCCCCAGAGTTAAGAAGTCGGGCACATTCAACTCAAGCACAGTCTGGGGACGATGTTTTGACAATGTCTGACTACTTTTTGATTTGTTGTTTGGACTAATGTTCCTGTTTCGCTCAAAATCCCCCTGCATAGGGGGACCTGCCCGACCGAAGCCCCGAGCAGCCAGGGGCGGCGCCGCGACGTCGCCCCCGCGCCGCCCCCGGCGGAGCCCCGCTCCGCTGGGCCGGGCGCCGCAATTTCTCGCGCCGCGCGCCTTCGGCTAAGTCGGGCCTGTCCCTCTGCAGGGGGAAGATGCAAAAATAGTTAGGAAATTAGCCAGGGGACGATTTTCTTTAACATTTTTGACCATTTCGGTATTTTTAGACTATTCTGAAGTTTTCGTCGAGAATCGGCCTGTAGGGGGACAGGTCCGACTTAAGCCTTCGGCCGCCCCACTCTTTGGGGCCCCAGGACTCCAGGCCTCCTAAATGCGGTCGGAGTACACGTCGTTCATTTCTAATCGTGCTCGGTTCTAATTGTGCTCGATTCTAAGTGTTCCTGGCCCCCCAGTGGCCAGGAAGAGGCCCAGGATAGAACAATTAGAAATGAAAGGATCTTGGCCCCAAACAAAAATCTAGAAGCATTCGAACAATTAGAAATGAACAATGTGGAGATGTGGTCGGAGGATCGCGCCAGATCGCCGATGCATCGCCGATGCGGCTCGATGTGGAGCCCGAGTTGCTTCATGGCGACGTCGCCGATGCATCGCCGACGTCGACGATGCATCGCCGGTGCATCGCCGATACATCGCCGATGTATCGCCGATGCATCTGCGATCTGGCGCGATCCTCCGACCCCATCTACTCGGACCCCATCTAGGAGGCCTCTAAGGACCCTTTAGGTCGCTCTGGCTCGAAGCATTTGCCGGCCATGCATCCGGAGGGGCGCGTGGTCAAAACAAGCAGCCCCAGACATGATCGCGTCGTTAACAAAAATCAGGACGGGCAGGTTTTCGTTATTTTCTTCGGCCCCTGGGGGCCCTCGCCGGTCCTTGGGACCGTCAAAAATCAACGCAGGATGAAAAACTGGCCCTGGGGAAGGGGTCTGGACTTCACTTCCGGGGACGCCGTCTTGAAAAAATCAGGACGTTGCATGTCTGGCGCAGGAACGCAAGCGGAGCTTGAGCGCCGTTCGCAGAATCAGCGGTTCCCCGGGGTAGAACAATTTTATCCGTTTGCACGCAGACGTCGCCCACTGCTGCCGCGGGCGACCTTTTCAGCGCTCGGTCTTGCGCGGGGTTGCCATCGGGGCGATTTGTTCACAACGTCGCAATGTTGCGCAACGTCGGGCCTCAAAGGCGTCCCCGAGTGGCTGGGGCGCCGAGGGCGCCCCGGAGGCAGCCCCGCGGCCCCGCCGAGGACGACTTCGCGACCATCAAGGACATGCAGTTCGAGGCTCCTGCCTGGCTGGAGTTCCTCCTGCTGATCACTGGCGTCTACTGGCTGCAGGACGCCATACAGGCGGAGCGCGCGATGGCGACGGCGGCTGCGGGCGGCAGCGGCGTCGGGGGGCGACTGGCCGTGGCAGGGACGGCGGCGGCGGCGGCGGCAGCGGCGGCGGCAGCGACAGCGGCGGCAGCGACGGCGGCGGCGTCCTGCGGGAAGCCGGCACCGGCTTCCCGCAATACTTCGAGTAGGGGATCGACAACAGAATTCATTTACCCCAAACTTGATTTTTCCGTCGAGTCTACAAGAAGTGCAAAATATGCTCCGACATCTATGGAGCATTCTACGGATTTTCCTTAGACCTGACGGAAAAACAATTTCGGGGTAGGTCAATTCTGTGGTCGATCGCCTAGTCGAATACCCGGTCCCAAGGCGGGGCGCGCGAAACGCGCAGATGGCAAGTTCATGAACCCGTTCCCTCTGACCTACGAGCTGGTGTCGGACGTCTGGTCTGTCCCCCCTGCGAGCCTTTTTGCCCCCTCCGTGGAGCCCGATCGAATCATCTCAGCGCCCGGCACCTCCCCCATGGGGTGCCGCACTCAATCCAACACGGTAGCCAGCACCCCTCTTGGAACCCGAACGTGTGCACTTGCATTTGCTACCTGGAGCGGTGGTGACTCCCCCACCCCCCCCAAACCCTCCCTCGAACGGGATCGGTGCAGACGGCCCTCTGGCCGAGCCAGGGGTGCGTATGTGCGTATCTAGGTTTTGCTTCCTTGGGCTTGGCATCGCTCGGAAGTGTGCATTTTTCTCGGCGAGAACCATCGAGGACCATCCTGGACCATCGAGCCAACAAAAACACGCACGTAACCGAAAACTGCCGGGGAAATGGACGTCCGAGCGACGGCAAGTGGGAGGTCCGCGCGGAGTTCTGGAGGCGGCGCTGGGCACCCCTGGCGGCGCCGCGGGTGCGGCGCTCCGCGCGCCAGGGACGGGGGGTCCGGCACCGCCCCAGCGAACCCGCGCGGGCCTCCGAAAGTTCATGTCTGCGCAGGTGGTCCTCCTCCTCCAGTCGGCCCGGATTAGTAGGTCGACCCTGCCAGCTCGAGGGTGGCCTTGTGTCCCGTGCCTCGCGACACGTGCCTTCTTACACTCCAATAGCGATGTGGCCTTCGGACGGGTCTTGTGTCCTCTCGCGCGTCCTCTCCAACGAAGTCCGCCCGTATCTATGATCCCTTCCATCAATCTCGAGGATCGAGGCCCCTTCCCCCCCCAAAAAAAAAATCTCGAGGATCGAGGCCGCGGGGGACCTGATGTGTGCAGGTCTAGTAGCTCGTCCAGCGCGGGCGCGCGCCGCGGAGCGCGCGAGGAGGGGATGGGCCCACGGCGTCGCCTTGGGCGGGCGCGGGGACGGACGACACTTAAGTCGGGCGTGAGCCTCTGCAGGAGGAAAATTCCAACATGTGTTTTAAACATATCGATAAAATAGTACGGGGACATGTTGTTATTGTTGTGGTTGTTGTGGTTGTTGTTTTTGTTGTTGGTGTTGATGTTTTTGTTGTTGTGATGAGGTTGTTGTTGTTGTTGCTGTTGCTGTTGCTGTTACTGTTGTTGTTGCTGCTGTTGTTGTTGCGGTTGTTGTTATTGGTGGTGGTGTTGTTGGTATTGTTGTTGTTGCTGCTGCTGCTGTCGTTGCTGTCGTTGTTGTTGTTGTTGTTGTTGTCGTTGTTGTTGTTGTTGCTGTTGTTGATGTTGTTGTTGTTAGTGTTAGTGAGGTTGTTGTTGTTGTTGTTGTTGTTGTTGTGGTTGTTGCTGCTGTTGTTGTTGTTGTTGTTGTTGTTGTTGTTGTTGTTGTTGTTGTTGTTAAGGTTGTTGTTAATGTTGTTGTTTGTGTTGTTGCATATTTTGCATTTTCCCGCCCAGAATCCGCCTGTAGGGGGAGATGCCTGACCTAAGGCGGCATGGCCTGCGCCCTGCTGTGCGCGGGGCAGGGGGAGAAAGAGTGAGCCCCCTTAGACAGCTCGACGAAGGGCCAAGCTGGCAGAAAGCTGGCAAGCAGCTGGCCTGAGCATCCAGCGATGCACGCGACGCGGTGTGCTAGGTCGCCCGGGCGTGCCCCCGGACGGGCGGCTCGTGCGGGCGGGCCCCGTCGCGCGGGTCCCGCGGGCGTGTGCCTCAGCGGGCGGGCCGGGCGGGGAAGGGCCCCGCGGGCGGGCTGACCAGGCGGAGCGTTCGAGTGGGCGGGCCCTGGCGGACGGGTCCCGCAGGGCGGATCCTGGCTGGCGGGTCGGGCGCGACCACAACGGGTGGGCTGGGTGGGCAGACCCTTCACAGGCGGGTCGGGCGGGCGGGCCTCGACGGGCGGGTCGAGCCGGGTGGTGGGTCCGTGAGGCGGAGGCCCACACACGGGTGGTGGGTCCGTGGGTCGGAAGTTCTTCTGGGTAGGGCGCATGACCAGTACGCAGCTCAACCAACACGCGCGATGATGCGTCAGCAGGAAAGCATGTCGCGTTCTTGTCCAGTCGCCATGAATCCCAGGAGCCGCGTTTGAAGAGCGTTTTGGCAATCGTGTTGACACATCGGCAGGCCCGCAATCCCCGCACCCCTTCCCCATGCCCCCTCCCCCCTGGGATCCCTGGAGGTCCCCCGAGGCCCCCGGGAGGTCTCTGGGAGGACTCCGCAGGGCCGAAGTGAGGCCGAGGTGAGGCCGAGAGCGTACAACAGCTCCCATGCTCGATGCCCCTCCCCCCCCCCTCCCCCCAGCCCTGCTCCCCCCCCCCATCTTTTCAGGAGGGAAAACAACACACAGACACAATGAATCGTCGATTCCCAGGAAAATATGGGAAATTATGGGGAGTGGGGGGGGAAGAGAAAAGCCCAGGAATTGTGGGACACTATGGGGAATCCTGTTATTTGTGTGTCTTTCTTTGTGTGTCCTGGGGCCCCTTCATCTTTGCCCTCGGCCGCGCGGCGTGCACCGTGACCCAGGCAGCCAGCGGAGGCCGGGCGCCGCGGCGGGGCCCGCGCTCTCGGGTGCACGCCTCCCCTCCCTCCCCTCCCCTCAAGCCCTCCCCCCCCCTCCCCTCCCCTCCCCTTCCTCCCTCCCCTCCCCCTCTCCCCTTCCCCTCCCCTCCCCTTCCCTCCCTTCCCCTCTCTCCCCTTCCTTCCCTCCCCTCCCCTCCCCTTCCTCCCCTCCCCTCCCCTCCCCTCCCCTCAAGCCCTCCCCTCCTCTCCCCTCCCTTCCCCTGCCCTCCCCCTCCTCCGCCGCGGCCCGCGGCGTGGCGCCAGCGCCAGGCCGCGTGAGTCGGGGCTCCGCTCTCGCCCTGCCCCCTCCCCCCTTCAGGTTCGAGGTCCTGGTCGCAGTGATCATCCTGCTCAACTGCGCCTACATCGGCGTCGTGGCCTCGCTCCCCCCCTCCCTCGGCCCCCCATCGTCGGGCAAGAATTCGTCAGACAGATCAGTTCCTCGTCCTCCTCGTCCACCTCCTCCTCGTCCTCGTCCTCGTCCTCCTCCTCATCCTCCTCCTCGTCCTCGTCCTCGTCCTCGTCCTCCTCCTCCTCCTCCTCCTCCTCCTCCTCCTCCTCCTCCTCCTCCTCCTCCTCCTCCTCCGGTTGGCAGGCAGCGGCGCCTCGCGGGGCAGCAGGCCTCACGCCGCAGACGCGAGCAGCCCTGGAGCCGCCCTCGGGGGAAGGAGTACGCAGCAGGCCTCACCGTCGAGGGGGGGGCCGGGCAGGGGCTGCGCTCAGCGCGTCGCGGCTCCCTGCTGTCCGACCGTGCCGTTGGGCTTAAGTCGGGCCTGTCCCCCTACAGGGGGCTTTTCGACGAACAATAAAAGATACGAAACAACTAATCAAAACATAGTATAAAAAACAACAAATGGTCTGGGGATTATTGTTTGACTATGGTTTGACCTTCTTGGGGTATTTTGCATTTTTCGTTCAAAATCCCCCTGTAGGGGGACACGCCCGACATAACGTTGGGCCGCCGGTGCACAGCGCCAGCGAAGCTGCCGCGGCACGGTCGATGGCTCCTGCGCGCGCTCCGGCTCATCTTCGGTGTAGCATCAGGGGCACAGCGCGCCACGGAGTTAGTCAGTGCGTGAGGGGGAGCAGCCGCCAGAGGCGGCCACCAGCGCGCCCGCCATCGCGAACGAGTTGGAGGCACGTCGGGAGCTCGTCTTCGCGCGCTCCACGCCCATCCCCAGCATGGCCCGAGCGGAGAGGTGCCTTGAGCGCTTCACACTGTGCAGAGGACTCCTCGGACATCCCAATGCCAGAAGTCCTCGACGTGAGAGGGTACCTCGACGCGGCGGTGTTTTTCGCACCGGGACCAGACGGGGTACCTCATCGTGCCTGGGCCTGTGGACGGGGCCCTGAGCTTCTCCACGACTGCACGTTGCGGGCGATGAAGGGCAACCCGCTCGGAGACGAGTTCAACGCCAGCATCGGGGTCTTCTTGTCCAGCGGCGCTGGTGATGGCTCTCGGCAGGACGGCGGCCTGCTCGTTCGCGCAGCGGGAGCACGTCCGCTGGCACTGAAGAACCCCTGCAGCAAGGCAGCGAAGACGATGCTGGATGTGCCGCTGCGCAGGGTCCTGCAGCGCAGCGCCCCCTCCACGCAGAGGTGGTTCTTGCCGGGCCACGCCATGATTCAGAACGTCACCGATTTGGACTCGTACCCCCCGTTGTAGCCGAGCGCAGTCCGACGACGAGGGCAACGAGGCGGGCGCCCTGTGGGCGCTGGACTTCTGCGCGGCGTTCCCGTCGGTGCGACAGGCCTCGGTGCACCTGGCTTTGTCCCGTTGGCGGGTGCCGAGAGGTCTCAAGAAGGCGGTGCTCGGGCCCTACATGGAAAACCATATCTAGAGTAGATTTGGGACGACGTGGATATACCTCTTTGAGGCGATATCGGGGGTCCTGCAAGGATGCTCGCTCCCTGGGTCATTGAACGTCGTCGCCTGCGTCTGCTTCGCCAGAAATCTCGAAATCCTCATCGAGGCGCGGAACCTCGGCTGGACGCGGTCGTGCGCCGACGACCACACCTGGGTCGCTTGCAGGAGGCGCTTCTTCAGGCGGCTGGCGCTCATCACGAGGACCGCCTCGGAAATGGCCGCGTCGAGGCTGACATCTGAGAAGTGCGAGGCGGCTCCGCGTGGCGCCCCGCTCGCCCCGGAGCGAGAACAGACCGCCTGGGCTCTCGTAGCTGCCGCCTGCGAGGAGTGGTGCCGATGTCGCATCGCGAGCCAGGTGGAACACCTGGGGGTGAGCATTTGGCCGGCAGCCACGGTGGACGACAACATCAGGCCCCCAGAGACCAGGACACAGAGAAGCCAGGACACGGAAAACCAAGGAAACGACATCCTTTCCTGCAAAGTCACGTTTTTCAGCGCCCGTGCACGTTTTGTTTGCTGCACTGCAGGATTCGGGTTTGTGTCCGGGTTCAGGGGTGTCTTGCAGGCTTTTGGGGCCTGTGTCCGGGTTTATTCTGGAAATGCTGAGGTGCAGTATTTTGTTCGTGCCGCCGTTTGGAAAAATTGGTTTCGAGGGATGTTGGGTGTCCGGGTCTAGCGTGTCCGGGTCTACGGGGCCCTGACAGCAGGAAAGCACCGATGGCGAAGCTCAAGGAGCGCACGACGCGCATCATGACGCAGGAGCCGCACGCCCACCTCGCGTGCCAGCAGTACCTGACTAGGGCAGGGCGCAGCCGGTCTCCTCGTGCAAGATGCAGCTCATGATGATCCCGCGGATTATGGTGGTGTCGGAGGCCCACGTCTTCGCCAAGCTGCTGCGTGGGCTCTTCTCGGCATTCTGGCGGCGGGACTGGCTCTCGCTCGACTTCTGGGGGGGACCCAAGCTGAGGGGGCTTCGTGGGACCCATGCGGTGGTGCTGATGCGCTTCGCGTTGAATGCAGGTCGAAGGGACGAGCTGCCCAATCAAGTTTTGGTCCGGGAAGCTGGCGCCACCATTCTGGTGTTCGCCGGCGATCGTACACACGGTTACACACGTTGAAATGCGCAGCGGGGGGCTTCACGTGCGACGATCCCATATGCAGGGAGTTTGGACCAGGGGGCCGCAAGGCATTACGATTGTGGCGCTCGGCCCAAACGGAGGCAACCGGAAAGGCTAGAAAACGCCAGCGGCCGCAGAGATACTTCCAGAAAGTCTTCGAGGATGAGATCGAGCCGATAGGCCAGATCGACTTGTTCACCCAGATACTCTGCAAGCGCTACCAGATGGAGGACTTGCAGGTGAACTGGGTGTCTGTGTGCGCCCTCTTGAGGCATGCCCCCATGGCGTGGGCCCTTGCCGCGATTCGGACGTGGGTGGGAGGCTGGGTCACCAGCTCGAGGATACGGATAATGGAGGATGACGATTAATAAATGACCGGGGGTCGTGTTCACGCGGCGGCGCCTGGGATGACGATTAGAAAAAGCCGGCCGCGGGCTGGATAACTATTTTTTTATCGTTCTCCTCCAATAAGAAAATGAGGCACAAATAGCAGGAAACTATTGTTTTAATCGTTCTCTCCCATTTTTTTTATCGTCGTCATCCCGCATTCTGTGCTGGCTGTGTGCTGGGATGCCCTGGCGAGCCTGACGGGCGCGGGCGCGGCGCCGCGAGCTGCCGGCGCCTGCCTGTCGTGGCCGCGAGGGCGCGGAGAGGCGCTCTCCCTGCGCCGCTGGAGCGGCGCCCTGGTCCGGAGGGCGGGCCTCTGGCCTCCGTGGCGGCGCCATAGCACGCATGCCGCACCTGCTTACCAGCCTCGAACGTATCCCTATCCCTAAGATCGACACGCCGAAAGGGCGATGACAATCTTAGGGATTCGCCCTCAAAAAATACGGGAATCCCTAAGATTGGCATCGTGATGAGGAGGTGCCCAGCATAGGGATAGGGACATGTTCCAGGCTGGTAACCTGCTCCCACCCTGCGGCACGGCGCGGCAGAGGTGACGCTGCACGTGGTCATGGACGGCATCGAGTCGGTGAGGCTCGCAGTCCAGGGGTGGACTTAAAACAGTGTTTTGGCGATCTCGTGGGCCGTTTTCGCTTCGGTTCCGTTCTGCGTGAAAGGCGGACTGAAGACAAAACGAGGGAAAACGAAAACAATACGAAAACGAAAAACACCGTTTAGGTTCAGCCCTGTCGCAGTCCGCGTCCCGTTGAAGTCCTCGCTGACGCTGCGCTGCGCGCAGCCGCATCGAGCTTTCGAGCAGCGCCTCGTCGTCTGATGCCTCTGTGAGCTGGCGCGCACGGGGCAGGCAACGAGGCACTGCCCCAGGGAGCGGTCCGCCTCCTCCTTCTCCTCCTCCTCCTCCTCGTCAGCATCACCACCAGAATCTACTTCCTCGTGCTCCTCCTTCCCCTCCTCCTCTCCCTTTTCCCTCGTCCGTCTGTCCTGCTCCTCCCTCCTTCCGTCCTCTCTGTCGCCTCCTCCTGCCCCCCTATTCCCTCTCCTCCCTCGTTCCCCTCTGACCTCCTCCTCCCTCCGTCTTCCTGCTCCTTCCTCCTCCACGCCCTCATCACTGTCTTACCCCTCCCCCTCCAAACTGCAGGGCAGCACGAACACCACGGGAGGGCACCGAACACATGTCAAACAACCTAGGAACACCGTCGAACACATGGCATATCAGAACGCGTTTGTTGATATCATCCTCTATCCCTTCCTCTTCCTTAATCCCCCCCCCGTTCTGCCTCCTCGTTCGGACTTGTCCAATCGGGACTGCCCCGCCCGCGGTTCCCAGGGAACCCTAGGGCTCTCCTCATGAAGTGCGCTCACACGGTCGTGCGGCGCCGTGTTCGGCTCTGGCGGTGCTAGAATTAAGTCGGCCTGTCCCCTTACAAGGGGATTTCGACGAAAGATAAAAAACCGAACATAGTCAAAAAAGAATCACCAAACTGTCTGGAGATTTGTTTGTATATTTGTTTGACCTTTTGGGGGCATTCTGGGGGTATTTGTTATTTATCGTCGAACATCCCCATGTAGGGGGACACGCCCGACACAATGCTAGAACCGTTTGCTTGCGCGCAAGGGGAGGGGGGGCCTGCTCCCCGCTAGAGGTGCCTGTGCGGACTTCTCCAGGCCGGATGGCCCCTCTCTCTTCGGGCACTGAATCATGAGGCAGTGTCCTTTTCGGTTTCGGATGGCTCCTTTGGTTACAGCTGGTTCAAGGTGCCATTCCTAGTTCTCCCTGAGCGATGTTCAAGGCTTAGCCAGGGTGTGTTGCCAGCCCATGCCAAAGCAGACATGGTCTTTTAATCAGATTTGCAAAGGTCTTCACCTAAGGAGGAGAGACGTGACACCAGTCCCGTCGCGCTAGTTTTTAACAGCCTTGCAGTTTGTGTCGAACTAATCCACCTCTTCCTCGTCTTGCCCCTACCCCATCCTCCTTCTCCATTTCCACTCTCCCTCCTCCATCCATCCTCCTCTCCGCCTTCTCATCCTCCTCCTCTTCGTCGTCGTCCTCCTCCTTTTCCTCCTCCTTCTCCCCCTCCTCGTTGTCCTCCGCCTCCTCCTCCTCCCCCAAAAAGTCGAACCTCTGGACCTCCCAGAGAGGTCGAGGCCGCTCCCCGTGGACGAGGTTTCCATCCCGAGCCAGCTGCTTTGGACCGGCCCGGGGGCCCGCTGGAGGGCCCCCCGGGAGCCCGAACATCTCGAAGGCCACCCGCCGCTGGTTTTTTCCCACGCTGCGGGGAGGTCCGGGCTCCTCTGCCCCGAGGCCTCCTTCCCGGTCGGCGAGGGTGCGGCCGTGCTCGATGCGCTCGAGCACGTCTTCGTGGTGTTCTTCGTGGCGGAGTGGTGCCTGCGCGTCGCCGCGTTCGGCTGGCCGTGGGCCTTCGAGGCCCCGCCCCGCTCGATGCTCGAGGGTCGAGCCTCGAGCATCGAGGCTCCTTGGCTGCTCTCGCCCTCTTTGGGCCTCTAGGGTTGAGTCGGGCACGTCCCTCTGCACACTGTTCGTTCCTAATTCTCCGAAGGTTCTCTGATTTTTTTGGGGCCAAGATCCTTTCATTTCTAAGTGTTCCATCCTGGGCCTCCTCCTGGCCACTGGGAGACCAGGAACAAGTAGAAACGAGCACAATTAGAAATGAGCACGATTAGAAATGAACGACGTGTACTCTCGCCCTCTTTGGGCCTCTAGGGTTGAGTCGGGCATGCGGCATGTCCCTCCACAGGAGGAATGTTCAATAATAGCAATCACATGGCCTTGAGACGATTGCTCGTGCTCTTTCGACCGTGTTTGATGACCTGTTGAGTATTTTTCATGTTCTTCCAACATCCGCCTGCAGAAGGACATGCCCGACCTAACTCTAGGGGCGCTCCTCGTCGCTGCGGCTGGATCTGTCCCGAAGTTCCGGCCAGAGCGCACGCCGGGACGAGTCCAGGGGCAGTTGGCGCCGCCCTCCCCGCTCCAGCCGTCCGCGCACCCTGAAGACATCGCGACGGATCGTTTTTGGGGCAGTTCTCGACCCTCGGAGGCTTTGCTGGGCCCTGGGGCCGATCAAGAACAGCACGGAATGGAAGGTCCAGAGTTCGGGTGGTCAGCGGCGCGGCGCAGCATCGCAGCCTCGGGGGTCTCTGGAGGAGGAGCGGCAGGAGGAGGAGAAGGAGGAGGAGGAGGAGGGGGAGGAGGAGGAGAGGGAGGAAGGAGCATGTGAAGGAGGGAGGGAGGAGAGGGAGGGGAATGGGGGGGAAGACAATGCTTTCAGATACGAGATGTAGGGTCCTCGCTTTGAATCCGCAGCGGCCCGCGTCTCAGGTCCTTAAGCCTCCCCCTCCTCCTCGTCGTCCTCCTCCCTCTCCTCCTCCTTCCCCTGTCTCTGCTCTCATCGGCACATGCCTCACAAGTTTCGTGGCCCTACAGTGAACTCCAACCGAGGCCAAAGTGCTTGGGTCCACATACATGCCGTCCCCCCGCCAATTCTGCATGCCGCCTCGCATGCTTCGTGGCCCCGGAGGGAGCCCCGAAGGGGGTCACGGAGCCAGGGTCCGCATGTCGCCCCCCCCCCCCCCCCGCCAATCTCGGCGCACCGCGTGCAGCTTCCGTGTCCCCCTACGGAGCTCCAATTAAAAAGCCAACATGACATTGCGCGCAGGGCGCCCCCGCCCAGCTTGGCACACGCCTTCCACGCTACGGTAGGTGTGTGTCGTGTCGACCGGCGGCGACCCCGCCAGCGGCGTTCAACGTTGAACGCCGCGGGCGACCCAGAATCGTTCGATGTGGAACGATTTGGACGTTTCGGAAATGGCCGATCGTTCAAGGCTGAACGATCCCCGCGGTGTCGGAAACCAACGCCGGGGTCGGCACGCCACGGACCTGACGTACGTGGTGCCGTAGGGGTGCTCCAAAGGTCAGGCCACGGTGCCATGGGCAATGGCCCGCACGGCGTCTCCCCGCACCTCTCGGCACAGGCCCCACACGTTCTTTTGGCCCCACGGAGCTCCGCCGAAGGTTAGCAAGCCTTGGTTCACTAGGGACGGTTTTGCCCTCCAAACGACGAAAATCCCTGCCGAAACCCTCCGAAAAGCCACCCAGAGCCCTTCCAGAAACGTTTTCGGAAGGTTTTGGGAGGGTTCTGGCTGTTCTGGAAGGAAGCCAGTCCCTAGCGAACACTGGACTTTCTAAAAGTACGGCCCAAATGCCAGGGTCCGTATGGCGTCCCCCATCGAATGGCCCTATACGGAGCTCCAAAGAAGGCAAACATGCAATGGCCCGCATGGCGTTCCCTCGCCATCTTCGGCACACGCCTCACCCGCTTCGTGGCCCCATGAGGTGCTCTCCACCTGAGGCCAAGATGCACGGGTCCGCATGGCGTCCCCCCGCCCATTTCGGCCGACTCCGTGGCTTTCCCTGTTCCGTTCTGCTTGCGGTTTTTCCTAGTCGGCGAACGTTTGGCGCGTCGGCCCTGGTACGATCATTAAGCTCGCGTCGGGCTGACGCGGCGGCGACCCCGCCGTGGGCCTTCAAGCCGCCAGTTGGCCTGAGTTGGACGGTCAGGACATCGGCAGGAGGAAGAGGAGGAGGAGGAGGAGGAGGAGGAGGAGGAGGAGGAGGAGGAGGACGAGGACGAGGAGGAGGAGGAGGTGGAGGAGGAGGAGGGAGGGAGGGAGGGAGGGAGGGAGGGAGGAGGAGAGGAGGAGGAGGAGGAGGAGGAGGAGGAGGGAGGAGGAGAGAGGAGGGAGGGAGGAGGAAGAAGGGAGGGAGGAGGAGGAGGGAGCCAGAGGGGGCTCACCGGGCCGTGGCGCGCGCCCCCGAGTTCTACAACTTCCTCGACACCCTGCTCGTGTTCGGGACGGGGGTGCTGGTCAGCCCGGGGGGGGGGGCGGCAGCGGTTTCGGTTCGGGGAGGGAGGAGGAGAGGAGGGGGAGGAGGGAGGAGGGAGGGGGGGAGGAGGAGGGAGAGGAGGAGGAGGAGAGGAGGAGGAGGAGGAGGGGAGGAGGAGGAGGGAGGAGGAGGAGGAGGAGGAGGGGAGGAGGAGGGAGGAGGAGGAGGAGGGGAGGCGGAGGAGGAGGAGAGAGGAGGAGGAGGCGGAGCGAGGGAGGTGGAGGAGGAGGAGAGGGAGGAGGAGGAGGAGGAAGAGGGAAAAGGGGACAGGAACAGGAGTACGTAGGAGAATGATGAGGAGGAGGGACGAGGAGGAAGAGGAGGTGGAGGAGGAGGAGGAGGAGGAGGAGGAGGAGGAGCAGGAGGAGGAGGATGAGGGGGGGATTCGCAGGAGGCTGACTCATTCCATGTGAGAGGGCGGGCGGCGCACCTGCCGAGGGGGCATGCCGCTCGCGTCAGCGCCGAGCATGGAAACAACGAGAGAAAGAGAGAGAGAGAGAGGGAAAGAGAGAGAGAGAGAGGCGGTCCGCGACCGTCGGCAGGGGGTGCCGGCTCAGAGGGCCCAGCGCTTGAGACGAAGGGGGCGGCCCGACGGGGAAGAGCACAGGTTGTCGGCCCCGACAGTCAACCCGCACAGGAAGGACGAGCGGCGTTCCGAGGATGCCCTTGCATCCTGGCCCCTTCGGCCCCTCCTTGGCGATGTTCGATGGCCGACTTTGTGCGAGAAGCGTCCACGTGGCCACTCAAGGCCCTTGCATCCTTACCGCGCATCCTTGGTAGACGGCGTTGACTGCAACTAACTGCTAGCTGAGCAAGCAGGTCTGGGCACGCTGAGCAACAACAGAGCATCTACGAATAGACACAGGCAGGCAGTACATTGGCCAGCCGAGAGTGAGCCGACTACGCATGCTCACATGCAGTGGGAAGCACCCTCTTGAGCGGGGGTACATCTGTGCGAAGCAGGGCCTGGAACAGCGTGGCAGCGGGCTGAGGAAGTCAGCACCTAGTCTGACAACAGAGAGACGGTATTAGGGATAATCCAAGCACGAGACAAAGCGCGACCTGCGAGGATGCCTCGCAGAACGATGCAATCATCATGCGCTGGCCGTGGAAGCCTTCCAGAACTAGAAGACGAATGGGGACGACCCAGGACGAGGGGGCAAAGGAATTACAGATTCAGAGCAGCGCCGAGGTTGTGAATTGCCCTATTGCGGGCGAAACTCGTCACGTCATGGAGCATCGAAAAAATACTGAACAGCTGTAGGTGAGATAGGCGTTACTGGTTGCTGTGGCGCGAGCGGGTTGCCGTGGCGCAACCGAGCCACCCCAGGATGCAGACAGTCGGCTGGATCCGATTTGGACTCGTGGACTCGCCAACGCCACCATTGGTGCCAACGCAGCGAGTATCTTGGACATCACGCAGGACTGGGGCACGGACAGGAGCTTCGCTAGGCCTCCGGTCGGAGTATATGGGTCGGAGGATCGCGCCGCATCGCCGATGTATCGCCGATGCGGCTCGACGTTGGGCCCAGTTTGCTTCACGTCGACGTCGCCGATGCATCGCCGACGTCGACGATCGCTGGTGCATCTCCGATGCATCGCCGATGTATCGGCGATGCGGCGCGATCCTCCGACCCCATCTACTCCGACCCCATCTAGGATGCCTCTAGCTTCAGAGTCCACCGTCTCCACGTCGCAGCCCCTGGAGAGAAGTCGTCGGCGCCCTCATTGACCAAGCTCTTCTCGACTTCGGGCGGCTCCACGTCGGAAGAGTCGATCGAGCCCAGCTTCCAGTCGTGCCAGGGGCCTGGCGCGAAGTCCCAGTTGGCCTCCACCTCTGACTGGACGTCCTCCAGGTTTAAGTCGGCCATGTCCCTCTACAGGAGGAAACTTCAAGGATAGAGAGACATGAATGTGGGACGATTTTTCGTGCTCTTTTGATGATGTGCTTGCATCTGTGCCAAGATCCCCCGGTAGGAGGACTTGCCCGACTTCGCTGTAGGTGGATGGAGAGGGGCCTCTCTTGCGAGCCCCGCCGATGGAGCGTGTGCCCTGGCCTGGCTCGGGAGGGATCCCACCGCACGAGGTGGCCTGCTTGCCGAACTGGCTGGCTGGCGTCGAGCGCCTCGCCCTGGTGCGCGTCTCCCTGGAGGGCTGGCCCGAGGGAAGGTGTGGACAGGGCATCTGGCCAGAGACTTGGCATCGCTCGGACTTGTGCATTTTTTATTCGGCGAGGACCTTCGAGGAGCATCCTTGATCATTTGGCGAGAAAGCCACGCACGAAACCGAACAAAAACACAGGGAATGGACGTCCGAGCGATGGCGAGAAGAGACCCCGTGGACCGCCCCAAAACTGCCCAAGAGGCCTCTACGAGGGCCCACGGACGGGCCAAGAGGGTTCCAAGGCGGCCAGAGGTCGCCCCGAGAGAGGCGACGAGGGAGAGCACGAACCGAGAATCTGGCTGGTCGGAGCCCGGAGAGGCCACGGAATCGATGGGAGGCCCCAGTCCCCGGCAGCTCCCCGAGAGCAGCCCCCTGGCTGGACGGAGGAAGGCGGGGAGAGGCGAGAGGCTGCTCGCTCGGGCCGCGCTCGCTCCCTGACGCTTGGCTCCCTCGGTCCTCGCCCGCGGACTGCATCAGGTCAACGAGCACTGACATACAGTGGGAGCGCGCATCAAGAAGCCATCTGCTTTTCGTCAGGGTATCCTGGGTTCCTTCGCGCTGCGCGATGACTTCCCGCGGCCGTTGGGGGAGCCGCTGCGTTCAGGGTGCTCCAGGTTTCCCCTCAGGTGTACCTCGCGCACGGGTTCTCAGGGTTGGGTTTCGAGGGGGGGGTACGAAATCTGCTGCATGCAGCTGGTTTCGACCCCGCCGCCGGGCCCATTCCTCGATACATGGGCGCCTCCCGGCGCCGGGAGACGCCGGGCAAATCAGCTACGTGAGCTGAGTCTCAAGCCCCCCCCTTTGCTATCCCCCCTTTTCGCCCGGTCCGAATTTGGTCAACGAACGATGGCATAGACATAAAAACTCGGAGGTCCGCGCGGATTTCTCGGATCGGCGCTGGGCCCCCCGGGAACTCCGCGCGGACCTCCGAGTTGTCATGTTTATGTCACTTCTCGTTCCCCTATGCATAGCGGGCTCGGTGTAGCCGATCCAGCAGTCGGGCATGGTCCCGATGTCGTATTGGCGCCAGTCAGTCTCGCAGTAGTGCTCGGTCTTGACGTCCTTCTCGTCTCGGAACCTGCGGCACGTCGTCGTCATGCTGCTCAGCTGCTCCAGGGGGATCGGCAGGTCGCTGAGGTCGCACGGCTTCACGAGCGGCCTCCTCGCCCGCACTCGCACGAGCCTGGCCTTGTTCTTCTCCGATCTCCCAGAAGCCGGCGGACCCTGAGGTCTCAGGCGTCTTCCGAGAGCGGTCCTCGGTCGTGAAGCTCGGGAATCTCCGGGCGATCTCGGGATCTAGCTTGACATCGGCCGGGTCGCACCCGATCAGGCTCACAGTCCGGTGGCCCGATCCCAGCGCGCTCATCGGGACAGTCACGGGCTCGTCATCCGCGCGACTCACGGTGATCTTGTTCTTGTGCATGTCGATGTTGGCCCCCAGGAAGCCCAATAACCCAGCTGGTAGGAGAGGAGGACAGGCGTGGGGCAACACCAAGAACTCCAGCACGCCGCACTTGTAGAGACTCAGAAAGACAAGGGCCTTCGTCACCGGACGGACGCGACCGCCCACTCCGTTGGCGTAGGGGAGGTCGTCCTGGTACATCACGCGCACTTTTAACCCCATCACGTTCGAGGCTGGGTCGCCGATAAGAGCTTGGGCGGTTGCCGTGTCGACAAGTGCGCGATCTCCGATGTCCGTCAGGGTCGCGCCCGCGTCGGACGCATGCTCACTCCTTGACTCCAGGTGGGACAGCGCGTCGGTCAACTACTTCACGAGCGTGGCCCCTGACGGGGCCGAGGTGCCAAATGCGTCGAACTCACAGAGGAAGCCATGCGATGCTCGCGCCGCCCGTCCAGCGGGTGGTTTGCCTTCGGCGTTCAGGCGATCCGCCTTCGGCCTGTAAAGCTTCCTGCCGCCCTCTTTCCAGTGCCCTCTCTCGCCGCAGCTCGCGCACCGGGTGCGTCTCCTCCAGTCTTGCTTCGGGACCCGTCGGCAGCCAGCCTGCGGCCTGGGGTCGGCCGACCCTGTCCGCCTCGCCGGCGCTCGAACACGTCTCTGTCGACCCGGCGAGCGGCCTTCGGCAGTCGTGGCTCCTTCCACGTTCTCCTCCTGCTGCTCCGCCAACTTCGCGAAGACCTGCACCGCCTCGTCCTCGTAGAGAGGCTGCGCTCGTCGAGCGTCCTCAAGAAGAGCTCGGCATCGTCCTCTGGGAATTTTCCACCTCACAGACGTCGAGCTCTCCGTCCGATCTCCTGCTCATCCACATCTTCCTCTGTGGCCAGAAAGCTCCTTGGTGCACTCGCTCTCTGTTGGGCTGGCAGCAAGGGCTTTTCTCTCACGTCCAGCTCCAAACTAGCACGACGCACTGAAGATGCCGTTCGGTCACCGTTGAGCGGTGTGCGCAGGTTGATACGATCCTGCTAACTCAGCTGGGCGCCCTCCTCGTAGAATCTCGCCTGCACGGTTTCCAGAAAACCCTGACCATGCTGCTCCTTGAGCCTCACGTTGATCTCCCGGACGTTCACCATTCAGAAAGTTACGATGCGATTGTTTTCGATCGATGCCATCTTCACCGTCCAGTTCGTCTCGGATGTTCCTGAGTTTGGCTTGCAGCTCAATTGAGAAACCTTCTTATACTCTAGAGGACTGGTGGCTTGGCTGGATCCCTGTACGTCGTGACCTCGCCTTCAGATTCACAGCGTAGAGATCCAAGCGTTCCAGACCAGGAAGAGGGGGGGGTGCGCTGAAGTCTCGTGAGCGCTCTGTCTGCGAGCTCCATCTCGCCGAAGGCGTCCAATCCTCTCGAGCTGAGCCCCAGCCTGACGCGTTCCACCCCCTGGACCAAGGGACCCGCCCCTCGCCGCCCTGGCCCGCGTTGCTCGCGCTCCGGCTACCGCTGTCGGCACCGCCGTCGGGCATGAGAGCGGGAGGGAAGGGGGAGAGATGAGCGGTCCTTCTCCGGCAGCGCCAGAGAGATACCAAAGGGGGCTGGGCATCCCGCCGGCCACGGACATTTAAGCCTAAAGCGCGATGGGCAGTTCCAGAGAGAGAGAGAGGGAGAGAGCGAGGGTCCGAGGAAAGAGACAACGCTGCGGCGCGAGCAGCCAGGTAGGCGTGAATGTCGCTGTGGGGGCGAGGAGTGGAGAGCGCACGCGAATTGTCGCGGTGACTCTGCGGCAGCCAGCGACGGTCTGCTTCGGCCGAGCCGAGCGCTGGCTCGGGGGAGCTGTGAGCGGACGAATAGCTGCCGCCGTCAGCCGTGCCTGGATTGCGGGGTGGGTGGGGGCAGACTGTGCGCGGCGCAGACGCGGACCTATCGTGCACCCTGTTGGTCGGACCAACTTGGTCCCACCTCTTCTGAGCCGGGCGGCGATGTCGCCGATGCGGGAGCGCGAAAGCGGGCGACCCGTGGGGATGGGCACGGGGACCATCCCGGCACGAGGCCTACGGGGGACCCGAAAGGCTCGGGGGCAGGGTGCGCAGTTTTGCTGGCGTCGCAGCGGCCAGAGTAACCAACGTGCCCTGCTTCTGGAACAGTTGCGAGAGCCTGCCCAGCCTCTGTGTGAGCTTCGGCCCGAGCTTGCTGCTCCAAAGCGCTGAGCCAAGACCATCGACTCAAGCGACGTGAACCCTACGGGGCGATCTTCTCGCAGGGGAGGAAGAAGGGGCGCGCTCGCCGCCTTCACCGTGCGGCCCGAGGGCCGCACACGGAAAAGCATGCTGCTGGGGTTCGAACCGGGGCAGGCGGGAGTGGTGGAAGAACCATAACCGCTGGACCGCACTGGACCGTGCAGAGATGAGAAGGAGGCGGCGGCGGAGGCGGTGTTCTCGGCGGTGGCGGGGGCGGCGGCGGGGGGCGCGGACCTTCTGGCCACCAGCATGCCATGTCGCGGTCGCCCGCCCTCGGCGGGCGACGCGCGGGGGCCCATGCCGGTAAAGAGCGTGTGCTGAAGGGGACAACACA